CTGATATAAAACATTAGAGTTGCATAGCTGCAACAGAGACTTAAGGCCTGCAAAGTCTAAAATACTGGCCCTTTACAGAAAATGTTTTCCAGTCCATGGTCTAGCAGGTAAAGAAGAAAGCGGAGATTTCTCATTTTATTATCAGGGGAACTTTAACCTGTTATTTCAAGTTAAAAAGTTCCTCAGAGCAACATTGTACCACATGAATGTTAGAGAGTAGTTCAGTGTCTAAAATGGCCATAATACTGTTTTAATTGATTTGGGAAGTCACCTACTGTCTGAGAGGTGGAGGTTCTTGGTAATTATATAAAGGAGAAAGCTTTGAGGAGAAGGAAGGAGAATGGCTGGTTCATTTTGGTGGGTTAAGAAAGAAAACATCTTCATTAGGTAAACATTTGACTCATTGTTGAGGTATCAACACCTGTCAATTTCTAAATTATGTGCCTGCCATTTGTTGTTGTCGTCAGTTTTCTTCCACTTCTTTTAGATGCATTAGAGATGGAGTTGTCTTGTTTGTTGCTATATTTCCAGTACCTAAAACAGTACCTGATCATAATAGCCATTCAGTTAATATTTGTTGAATGAATACGCTTAAATGGTATTTGCTTCATAAGAAGATTGTGGTTTCTTAAAAAAGGTCTGCAATCAGTTTATACCCAGAAAATAGTATTTTAAAATCTCCAAACCTTTGTGAGGAATATATCTTTTCAGACTAATCATCATAACTATTAGTCCTGTTAGACTATTAGCTAGCAGTAACTATATTGTCATTTGAGTAAATCTTACTGTTTGGTGCCTGACAAGCTAATGATAAATTGAAGTAAAATGTCTGGATTATACATTTACATGAGGTGAGTTTCACAATAGCTTCTATGAAACTCAACCCTGACTTTGCAAACTACCATTGGTCCTAAATAATCTAAAGGTTGTTATTTAATTTTTATGAACTTCTCAAATATATATAGTTAAATCACCTTTTTATTTATTTTAATTGCGTTTTAGGTTTTGGGGTACATGTGAAGGACATGCAAGATTGTTGCATAGGTACACACGTGACAGTGTGATTTGCTGCCTTCCTCCCCATCACCGTATCTGGCATTTCCCCCTGTGCAGTTAAATCATCTTAATGCCATTGACTTATAATTTTTCTTCCACAGTCTTTTCAAACAGATACAATTTATAATAGCAAAAAGAATTACTAAATACTAACAGTGACCTATTCATGGCCCTTTGTAATTCTTTTTAATAGATCCAGTCTCAGTGATGGATAATTCAACTTCTAAGATAACTTCCCCAAATCATTAAGTATAAAGACATATGCTAAACCTGAAATCTCGAACCCCCGAGCCTGGACTGGTACAGGTCTGTGGTCTGGTAGGGACTGGGCTGCACAGCAGGCGGTGAACAGCGGGGAGTGAACATTACTGCTGGAGCTCCACCTCCTGTCAGATCAGCAGCAGCATTAGATTACTAACAGAAGCACAAACCCTATTGTGAACTGCACATGTGAGAGATCTAGGTTGCACCTTCCTTATGAGAATCTAATGCCTGATGATTTGAGGTGAAACAGTTTCATCCCAAAACCGTCCCCACCCCTGCTCCATAGAAAAATTGTCTTCCACAGAAGCTGTCCCTGTTGTCTAAAAGGTTGGGGACTGCCACACTAAATCAGTTAAGATTGAATTTTAGGCCGGGCGCGGTGGCTCACGCCTTTAATCCCAACACTTTGGGAGGCCGAGGCAGGTGGATCACGAGGTCGAGAGATCGAGACCATCCTGGTCAACATGGTGAAACCCCGTCTCTACTAAAAATACAAAAAAATTAGCTGGGCATGGTGGCGCATGCCTGTAATCCCAGCTACTCAGGAGGCTGAGGCAGGAGAATTGCCTGAACCCAGGAGGTGGAGGTTGCGGTGAGCCGAGATCGCGCCATTGCACTCCAGCCTGGGTAACAAGAGTGAAACTCCGTCTCAAAAATAAATAAATAAATAAATAAAATAAAAATTAAAAAAAAGATTGAATTTTATTCACATTAAAAATATTTCGTCTCATGAAAATCAAATGATTGATTTGAGCATGTAACAACTTCAAAGCAATTGGAAATAGCTAAGTAGTGTACTTAGTGCTTTGACACCACATTTGTTGTCATAGACAGCACCCAGTGTAGCAGAATGGAGTAAGGTAGGCAGACAGAAGCTAAATGTAAAACAGGACAATGCAGTTTCATTTGGTGAGGAAAACATTAATTGAAAACAAACAGTTCCTTGGGTTTGTGGTAACAAAAGTCTCAAGGGGGCCGGGCGCGGTGGCTCAAGCCTGTAATCCCAGCACTTTGGGAGGCCGAGGCGGGTGGATCACGAGGTCGAGAGATCGAGACCATCCTGGTCAACATGGTGAAACCCCGTCTCTACTAAAAATACAAAAAACTAGCTGGGCGTGGTGGTGCGTGCCTGTAATCCCAGCTACTTAGGAGGCTGAGGCAGGAGAATTGCCTGAACCCAGGAGGCGGAGGTTGTGGTGAGCCGAGATTGCGCCATTGCACTCCAGCCTATAATTTGATTATAATCTGCCTAGGTCTCATTTTCCTGGCTTTTGCAGAATAAGTATATTTTTAAAGCTTTTTTTTTTTTTTTTTCATTTCTTTAAAGGTGTTGCTTTACTGTCTTCTGTTTCGGACACGAAATCTGCCATTGTCTTTTTTTTTTTTTTTTCTTTATGTAACTTTTTAAAAAAAATTCTGTCTACTTTTTAAGATTTTCTCTCTGTCAGTGGTTTTGGGCAATTTGATTATAATCTGCCTAGGTCTAGTTTTCTTCATGCTTCTTGTGATTGGGTCTTGTAGAGCATTTTATTGATTTATTGTTTTCATCAAATTTGGAAAGTTTTCATCCATCAGTTTTTTTTCGGGGGGGCGGGCAAAGATGACTTTATTAAGTGCTTTTTTCTTTCTTTTTTTTTTTTTGAGACGGAGTTTCGCTCTTGTTACCCAGACTGGAGTGCAATGGCGCGATCTCGGCTCACCGCAACCTCCGCCTCCTGGATTCAGGCAATTCTCCTGCCTCAGCCTCCTGAGTAGCTGGGATTACAGGCACGCACGACCATGCCCAGCTATTTTTTTTGTATTTTTAGTAGAGATGGGGTTTCACCATGTTGACCAGGATGGTCTCGATCTCTTGACCTCGTGATCCACCCGCCTCGGCCTCCCAAAGTGCTGGGATTACAGGCTTGAGCCACCGCGCCCGGCCTTTTTTCTTTCTTATAAGGAGGATTTGGGTCCTTTCAGGTGAAGCTCCAAATTACTAGACAATACACTGTTTTCTTCAGTTGCAGCAAGTTTATCCCAAAGTGGGTGCTCAGGAAAGCATCTTGAGGGTGAATGGGTATCAGGCCATTCAGGGTTAAGTTTGTCTGATGATTTTGTTAGTTGAAGATGTTCTTGTGTCACTTCTTAGAAGCAGTTTTGTGTCTCCCTTCAAATAGTCCACCATCTGGCTGCATGCCACCTCCATCTGTCCCACAGCTACCAGGTAATAGTGAATGGTTCAGAAGGTGCTGCTCTGGGGCAGCTGTGCCTTTAAAAGATGCAACACAGGACAATGAACAGCAGCAACTTCTAGTTCCCCCTGTGGGTCTGATGCAAGGGCATTTTGATGGCCTTCTGGTTGCACAGGATAGAGTAATACAACAGCAGAAACACCACTGGCAGCAGCTGGCAAGGGATGGGAACCATGTTTGTAAGAGGCTGGGCAGGCTGGGTGGCCTTTATTCATCATTTCTTCAAGTAATTGCTCTATTCCTAATTCTTCCTTTTATTTGGGGTTTCCAGTTACACATACATGAAGCAGCTTAAAGTTCCACAGCTCACTGATTGGGTTACATCCCAATAAATCCATTGTAAGTTGAAAATATCTTAAGTCAAAAATTCATTTGCTATACCTAACCTACCAACATCTTAGTTTAGCTTAGCCTACCTTACACATACTCAGAACACTTAACATTAGCCTACAGTGGGGCAAAACTATCTAACACAACGCCTATGTTATAATCAAATGTTGAATATTTCATGTAATATATTGAGTACTATACTGAAAAACCATGGTTTTATGAGTTTTTGAAGTATAGTTTCTACTGAATGTGTATTGCTTTTGCACCATGTAAAATTGAAAAATTAAGCCTAACCATTGTAAGTCCTGGACCATATGTATATTTTATCTTAATTTTTTGGTTTACTGAAACAGAGACAGTATATTTGGTCCCTTTTACTACATTGTAGCCATGCTATCAAGCAGCTATCAAATGAAAGTTGTGATGTTGAGATTTTTCTTTATCTATTTTATACTGCTGTAACAGATTCTGAGACTGGGCAATTTATAAAATATAGAGATTTATTTCTCACAATTCTGGAGGCAGGGAAGTCTGAGGTCGAGGGACCTTCATCTAATAAATGCCTTCTTGCCTTGTCATCCCATGCTGGAAGGTCAAGAGAGCACTGGAGGTGGGGTGAGGGGAGAGATATTTGTGAGAGCATAAGCACAAGCAAGGTTTGGAGGGTATGCAAGAGGGAGCCTAAAGCTTTTATAACAGACCCACTCTAGTGATAATCAACCCACTCCCTCCTTAAGAATCCATTCTTGGGAGCAGAGCGTTCATAACCTAATCACCTCTTAAAGGTTCCACCTCTCAACACTTTTGCATTAGCGGTTAAGTTTCCAACACAACTTTGGGGAAACACATTCAAATAATAGCAAGATATAAGATTTTGTGGTTGAGTAATTCCAGGCAATGATACAGAGGTAGACCATAGGTATAGGGAGTAGAGATGTGAAGGTAATTGGATGAGTCCGAGAGACTTTGAAGTCACTTAAATTAGTAGATTTAGGGTGGAGGGTAAGACTTGAAACCAAGAGCCAAAGTTGTGAAGTTTTAATACTGCATGTTTTATGTGTTTGGTCAGGAAAATACTCATAAAATTATGTTAAACTGTCTTGTCTTTCCTTATAGAACCTTCTGATAACTTAAGAGAGATTCTCCAAAATGTGGCCAAATTGCAAGGAGTATCAAATATGAGAAAGCTAGGCCATCTAAATAACTTTACTAAGGTAAGTAACTTGAATTTTTATTATTATCTAAAATTCTTTGTTCCTTACTACACTTACTAGATGTTTCTCGACCGTCATTAAATGTAAATTCTTGTGTATTCACACAGCATTAATGCTTTTCTTTCCTGCTCCTCATTGATTTTGTCCTGTGTATCTTAAACTTTTATTTGTGTTATAAAAGAATTATATATTTGTTATAGAAAATGTGGTAGATTCAGAAAAGAATAAAATAACTGAGAAACTTGCAATTCAACCTTTTATTCACTATAAGGATGCATTTTGCCTTCTCATTTTACTTGATAATACCTGGTACAGGCATATATTGGAGATATTGTGGGTTTGATTCTAAACCACTGCAATAAAGTGAATGTTGCAATAAAGCAAGTCACTAATTTTTTGGTTTCCCAGTGAATATAAAAGCTATGTTTATACTGTAGTGTAGTCCATTAAGTGTGCAATAGCATTATTTTTAAAAAATGCACGTACCTTAATTTAAAAATATCAATTAAAAAATACGGTCGTCTGAGCCTTCAGCAAATTGTGTGTTTTTTTTTTGTTGTTGTTGGCTAAGGAATTTGCATCAGTGTCGATGGCTGCTGCCTTATCAGATTGGTGGTTGCTGAAGGTTGTGGTGACCGTAGCAACTTGTTGAAATAAGACAGCAATGAAGTTTGCTGCATTGACTCTTCCTGTCATGAAAGATTTCTCTGTAGCTTGAAATGCTGTTTGATAGTTTTTTAACCACAGTAGAACTTCTTTCAAAATTGGAGTCAATCCTCTCAAACCCTACTGTTACTATATCAACTAATTTTCTGTAATATTCTGAATTATTTGTTGCCATTTCAGCAGTTTTCACAGCATCTTCACCAGGAATAGATTTCATTTCATGAAACTCCTTTTTTTGCGCATCCATAAGAGGGAACTCTATATCCATTAAAGCTTTTTCATGAGTTGCAGCAATTCAGTTGCACCTTCAGGATCCACCTCTAATTCTAGTTCTCTTGCTATTTCTTCCACATCTGCAGTGACTCCCTCCACTGACTGCAATCTTGAATGCCTCAAGTCATCCATGAGTGTTGGAATCGGCTTCTTCCAAATTCCTATTAGTTTTGAGATTTTGATTTCCTCCCATGAATCGGGAATGTTCTTAATGGCATCTGGTGGTGAATCCTTTCCGGAAGGTTTTCAATTTACTTTGCCCAGATCCATTAGAAGAATTACTATCTATGGCAGCTGTAGTGTTTGTATTTCATTAAAATAAGACTTAAAAATCAAAATTATTCCCTAGTTCCCTATTCATGGGCTGCAGAATGGAGTTATGTTAGCAAGCATGAAAACAACATTAATCTCCTTGTAACTATCAGAGCTCTTGGTGACTAGGTACATTGTCAATGAGCAGTAATATTTTGAAAGAAATTTTTTTTTTCCTGAGCAATAGTAAATACTGTTTTTTTTCAACAGCTTTAAAATGTTTAGTAAACCATACTGTGAACAGATGTGCTGTCATCCGAGATTTATTCCATTTATAAAGCACAAAGCAGCTTTAGCATACTTCTTAAGATCTCTAGGATTTTTAGAATAGGTAATGATCATTGGGTTCAATCTAAAGTCGCCAGCTGCATTAGCCCCAGACATGAGTCAGCATGTCTTTTGAAGCTTTGAAGCCAGACATTGACTTCTCCTCTCTAGCTATGAAAGTTCTAGATGGCATCTTCTCCCAGTTGAAGATTGTTTCATCTGCATTGAAAATCTGTTGTTTGGTGTAGCTACCTTGGTCAGTGATCTTAGCTAGATCTCTTGGATAACTTGCTGCAGCTTCTTCATCAGCACCTACTGCTTTACATTGTCATTTTATGCTATGAAGATGGGTTCTTTCCTTTAACCTCATGAACCATTCACACTTTTCTTCTGCAGCTTCCTCACCTCTCTCAGCCTTCATAACATTTAAGAGTGTTAGGGCCTTGCTTGCTCTGGGTTAGGCTTTAGTTTAAAGGAATGTTGGTAGCTAGTTTTATCTTCTATCTAGACCACTAAAACTTTCTGTCAGCAGTAAGGCTGTTTTGCTTTCATATTATTCATGTGTTCATTGGATTAGTACTTTTAATTTTCTTCAAGAACTTTACCTGTGCATTCACAACTTTGCTGCTTGTTTGTCACAAGAGGCCTCTCTGGACTTTCAACATGCCTTCTTCACTAAGCTCAGTCTCTAACTTGTCATTTAAAGTGAGTTGGTTGACTCTCCCTTTCACTTGAACACTTAAGGGCCATTCTAGGGTTATTACTTAGCCAGTTTTACTAAGTATTATGTCTCGGGAAATTGGGAGGCCAAAGGAAAGAGGTAGAGACAGGAATGACCAGTTGGTGGAGCAGGTTAAGTTCATCATCCTACATGGGTGCAGTTCATGGTGCCCCCAAACAAAGATAATAGTAATATTGAGGATCACTGATCACAGATCACCCTTACAGATAATAATAATAATGAAAACATTGTTAGTATTGTAAAAATTGCCAAAATGCGACAGACATGCACAAAGTTGAGCACATGCTTTTGGAAAAATGGCATCAATTAACCTGCTTGATGCAGGTTTACCACAAATCTTCAATGTGTAAAATGAAGTTTGAGTGTAAGTATATGTAAGTACATATGTGTGCCATATTTCATAAATACAGCCATAAACCCCAAAGAACTATGTTAGAACATCCTCTTTTCCTGATGTTGTATATTCATTATTTTCATCTAAATTAGATCCCAAATTAAATTGTGGGGACCGTGGTCCCAAATAAACATTGACTTGATCTCTCATACCAGCCCAGAATTCTTGAGATTGATGAATAGATTGGTATGTTTTTCAGCCTTGTAATGCTGGACAGACAATTCAGGCAAACTAAAATGCCTGCTGTTTTAGGTGATACCCTAAAATAGAAAACAGAATAGGTCTTTCGAATAATGTTCCCTCCACCTTTTAGTATATTAATTATAAATTTTTTTTTTTTTTTTTTTTTTTTTTTAAGACGGAGTTTCGCTCTTGTTACCGAGGCTGGAGTTCAATGGCGCGATCTCGGCTCACCGCAACCTCCGCCTCCTGGGTTCAGGCAATTCTCCTGCCTCAGCCTTCTGAGTAGCTGGGATTACAGGCATGTGCCACCATGCCCAGCTAATTTTTTTGTATTTTTAGTAGAGACGGGTTTTCACCATGTTGACCAGGATGGTCTCTATCTCTTGACCTCATGATCCACCCGCCTTGGCCTCCCGAAGTGCTGGGATTACAGGCTTGAGCCACTGCGCCCGGCCAAATTGTTTTTAATGAAAGAATTATTTTATGTTTTAACCTGCTGGTACTCAAAATATGACCCACAGTTCATTGGTATAGGTATTGCCTTGAAGCTTGTTAGAAAGTGTTCTATTTTAGCCCTATCCCAGACCTACTAAATCAGGATCTACAGTTCAGTGAAGATTCTCAAGTAAATTTATGTTTACATTCAAGTTTGAGCAGCATTGTTTTAATCCTTCTAAATATTCTTTAAGTAGTTGGACTGTGGCTTGGATTGGATTTTTTATTTCATAGAAATAGAAGGGGATGAGAATATAGTCACTATGTAATAAAATTTTTTTTTCATGTAGTATTGTGCAATAAATATAGGTTGAGGTTTTTTCTATAGCTAGTGGAAGCAAGTACATAGGTATTTTTTCCTTAGGGAAGTTTTAAAATATTCTGGCTTTTTTTTTTTTTCTAATATGTAAGAGATGAGAAACTGATTTTATATGAGGGATGAAAAAGTTGTTTTTTTAAAAAACAGCTTTTAAATACATTAAATAAGTACGGGAGAATGGACTCTCAAAAATATGTTTATGTATTTTGTATGTGTGTGTGAACATAATGAAAATCTTCAGACATCTTTCTTCAACGTGGTAGTGAGATAATGTCAAATCTTTAAGACACTGACATTGTTCCAGGGTTGCAAAATGCATCTTCTAGTTTCATTAATAAAATTTCCTTTTATTAAATTTTATAGTTTTATTTCACCAATCTTCACTCAATTCAAATTAGCCTCACTTGCTTGGTTTTAACCTTTGAAAACAATTACAATAGAAGTCTGTGTCCTGTTTGCAATTATGATTACTGTTATAACCAGGTTTGGATACCTAGATACACAGTTCTACAACTCTTGCCAACTAGGATTCTGAAAGTTGGGGATGGAGTTAAGAATGGCAGTAATTTCTGTTATTTTACTTTGTTACCAGCATGGGTCCTACAGCAATCTTAAAAATCTAAAATAGTGTTGCCTATTAGAAATATAATGTGAGCCACGTAGGTAATTTTAAATTTTCTAGTGGGCATACTAAAAAAGTAAAAAGAAACATGACATTAACTTTAGTATTTTTATTAAGCCAGTATATCTAAAACATTATCATTTGATGTAATTAGCATAAAACATTATTAAATGTTATCTAACTATTTTTTCATACTAAAGTTTTGAAAGCAAGTTTATAGTTTATACTTCAACAAATTTTAATTAAAACTAGTCATACTTCCAGTGGTCATAGCCTCTTGAGACTAATAGCTACTGATGACATTGGACAGTGAAGAGAGACAACTTTTTGGAACAGGAGTGGCTTCAATACCTTCATTTCTAGGAATCTGTTGAACACCTCTTATTCTCCCTTCTCATTCGTTATTTATTTCTGTCTGGGTCCCAGGTTCTCTTGCATTAGGATTAGTTTCCTTTTTTTTTTTTCTTTTTTTCTTCTCTCCTCAATTTCCTTGTTTTCTGTCTAAATTTCTCCCACAGTATTTCACTAAGTTATTCACTCTGCCTGCTCTCTCTTTCTTGATTTGTGCTTCCCCACTCTCTACTGACATTTCTGCTGCTTCTCATCCTTCTATACCTCTTCCTTCCCCTTTACCTTCTCTTTCTTCATCCTTACTTGTCCCCTTTTTCTTCCTCCTCCTTTTCTCAGTTCCCTCTACTTCCTTCTCTCTGTTGTACCACTGTGTAGA